CTATTTCCCAATTATGCAATCCTTCCATCTTGAATCGAATTCGGAGGTCCCCGTATCGTATTTATCTAGCTCGTATCACATGGGGCGGCCATATCGGCTCAACCCCGGATTTCCACCGCTTCTGGAATCGGAGATCCTTCTCGCTCTCAGACCTCGTGCGCCGTTTCTAAAGGTCAGCAGTGCATAGAAATGCACAAATGCAACAAAAAAATCATTTGTTTGTTTTTTGGTTTGTTTCTGCTGTATCTTTTCTAGGATAGTTCCGGAGTCCTCTGTAGCGTATACCGGTCTCCTTTAGAAGTTAGACTCGACTCGATACCGCCGGAACCATATTTAAGAGTCCCATGGACTGCACGCGCCCGAACCATGGAAAGCAACTCGTGGTCCGCGTGTAGGTCCCATCCCAAAGTCAAACTTGCGTTCGACTCAGGATAACTGAACCATAGCCGCAACCAAGGAACCAGGGCACCTGGCATCAACCAAGATCAGTTGAATCGAATCGAAGCTCGTCTTCGATCAGCGTATTTGGTTTTTGGTCAGAGCAACTTTTTTGTCGTTATTTTATGTGGTATACGAGCATATGCCCCGATTGAGAATGGCTACCTTCATAGTTAGGGAATACCCCAGCTGAGCTCTAACCCCAGTCACACGACACTCACTGCCATGATCTATTGAATGCTAGTATCTACCCCTCACCAGCCTGGGAACAAATCAGATCCAGTCCCGAGTTCAGGGGTGGAGGCACCATGGTTCTGTATCCCGTAGTCGGTAAGTTATCAATTATTATTGTTGGAATTCCTAAAGTTAAGAGCCGGGTTAACTGTCTTGGGTTCTTGGTCCGAAGCTTCAGGCACTGAGTTTAGTTTATTGTTTGTTGTACTCCGTATACGAGGGGTTATTGCACTGATTGGATCGAGATTTTGATGTTATTGATTTGATAGACTGGATAGTCCTGGGAGGTTATATTTTCATGTGACTGCGATGAGGTACATGTAGATCTTGTCTACTATCCAGTAATGAAAAGGGGTTTCTGGTTGATGAGAATCACATGCAGAAAGCGCGGTCTGAAGCTGACAGCCTGGGTAGAGTCGGTGTTCATGCTAATGCTGTTCATCTACGGAACAGATGGATTCATGGATCTTCATGATTCAGTAAGTGAGACCACTATTCAGAGCAACAGCCGAGTAACATCCTCACTCAACCTCCGAGTAAAGTACAACAGAAGCAGGAATACCAATCTGCCGAAAGTACATGTACAATCCCTATTCTCATCGTCTGTCTCATGTCCTCATTCCATATCTTACGCTTCGTTGCGATCGTAACTACATCGTTTCTCGTCGTCGTGGGTCTTCCCATCGACTTCCGTAAAGATTAATCAACCTGATTCGGGATAGAGTCATTAAACATGATCATCGTCGGTAGAGTAAATTCGAAACCTTTCCAAAAAGCTTCAGTCAAGTCATCTCCTTCGCGAGCCTCGATCGCGATCGCGGCGGCTGGGATGTGACTCTTCCTCTTCCTCGTCTTCCTCCTCGACGGGCGCAGGCGTGCGTCGTTCAGTGCGTCGCTTGGGTCGTCGTCGACGGTTGGAACTGATGTTGCTGGCCGAGTCATCAGGTGCCAGTGATCGGTCATCGTCAATTCCATCGTCCTCCGTTCCGCTTTCCCAGGTACCCAAGGCGGACGATGGAGTGCCGAGTCGTGCCTCGACGTACGATCCGCGGCGGTTCTGATTGGCGATGGACAGGCCTGCTCCGCGTTCACGTAGCGTGCGCCGGACGGCCTCCGCTTTGCAGTGAAGAGCTTCAAAGGCGTCCTCGAGGGCTTCCATTCCAAGGAAAATCTCACGCTCAATCTCAGCAAGGGCCGCAATCTCCGTCTCCTCGTCCAGCGCAATGGGCCCACCGAAGGATGCAGGCGATGATGAATTAACGCCGTACGGCTGACTGGCCGGTCGGACGCCACCTTCCATGTGGCTCGGTGTCGGACCGCGGGACATTCCTCCTGTTGTAAAAGGCGTGTTCGATCGGCTGCTACTCCAGCGTGTGGGGGTCGCGCCTGGGATGCCGGGGATCGGATCCTCAGCGCCGCTGCGCAGGAAGCCATCAAAGCGGCCCGAGATGAGGATATCCCATTCGTCATCGCTGATCGCAGCAAGAGTCGCGAGTACATGGTGGATGCCGGGGTTGTTCAACATATAAATTGCCGTTTCAGGGTCACGCGGCAGAGTGGATAGCCGGTAGAGGCGTTGAATGGCGATTGACGATGACACAAGCGCCTGCGGTTTAGCTCGAGGCTGCTGGTCGTCCGTCCGAGGGGTGGGTGTCGACGTGGACGTAATACCCAAAAGCGAGCAGAACAATGGACGCAGCTCGGGGCCAAGATGTGTCAGCATTGCAAAGGTCAACGTCTCGTCATCCACCTCCTCGGGAGCACTGGTAGGCTGTGCGACTTGTTCATTCAACCACTTATCCACTGCAGCCTTGGTCTTGCGCGACTGCCGGAGATAATGATCACGGTACTCTTCGGGTACGTCAATGTCCATCTTTTGCATGGGAATGTGCTCGTCGCCCGACAGGTCGGCTTCTACTGACGGAGCCATCATAAATGGTGGCCAGCTAGGCAGTTCTCTGCGACCAGATACCAGCTCGAGCACCTCACCCCAGCTCACTCCTGATGGACGTTCTTCCATCTCATCATGATCACACATCAGGCAGTGACAAGATTCGGACGAGATGTCACGCGCAAACACCGCTTCCAGCCGGTCGAGAAGCCGCCGAGCGACAGAACGGTACCCCGTCGCCACAGCGAGCGAGCCATTCTTGACCATGACGTGTTGATAGTCGTCGAGAAGACGATTGAACGGATCAAAGACTTTGGCAGCCGCAACAGCAGGCTGCAACTGCTGCTGAGGAGGCAAATCTGGGTGCTCCGGGCCCAGCAGTAATGTCTTCGGTACTCGGTGGTCCAGACCGCCATTCTGTAATAGGTAGTCAACTCTAGGGATAGAAACGGGCACCTCTGGCGGCGGAGGAGGGGGAGGGGGAGCGCCGAATGTGGAATTAGCGGTTGGGGGACGACCATAATCAAATGCGATATCAACCGGCGAACCGCTCCCTGGTCTAAACGAATGTGACATAGACGACCGCGTCTGGTTTCGTGAAGGCGGTTTGACAGGAGGTGTTTGTGGTTTCCGGGAAGTGATCGATGGCTGATGCGGTGCAATCGTGGCGTCAGACCCGTTTGCCGACCCTGACCCAACTTCACGCACCGTCGCGGGGGATCGAGGCGGGGACAGAGTACCCCGGCTTGATGAGCGCTTGGGGAGCTTGTCCTCGTCAGCGATCTTCGCTTTGGAAGACTTTTTGCTTGCAACCCGAGCCGGTGTATCCTTGTCTTTGTTGGATTTCGGAGTCTCTGGCCTCGCCGTTTTGCTTGACTTGGACGCTTCATCTCTTTTCGAGCGCAGACTGGAAGACGACCTTGTAGACTCAGCTCGAATTCGAATCTTCGTCTTCATATCTTTGGGTTTCACTTTCTTCTCCTCTGCCGCCTTCTCTTCCTTGTCGCCGACCGTGCTTCCCTTGCGGGAAGAGCCCTGATCCAGACTCGTCAAGGGCGGGCTAGGAGGCGCATGCCGACTATCCGTACGATGCTTGTTGTCTGCATCCCCGCTCTCTTTATTCTCCTCCGTCAAGTCGGTCGGGTCCGGCGTGGGAATACTCGGTTTGCTGACGGCCTCTCTGCTATGGGCTTTCGAGAATGTAGGGTAGGGCAGACTGGTTCTCGACTCGAGGAAAGAGGCCGTAGCGGAACGGCTGGCGGCGTCGACGCCCGGCATGGAGGACCGACGCTGCTGGCGCGAGGCGGAGATGGAAGTAGATAACGATGTGGTGGACGAGTGACCCGTGGGAATGTCACGGTCTCGATCCTTGGTTGAGGGGCGGGAGGGCCGTCCGTGGGACGAGCGGTGATGACGTTGTTTGGGCTTTGACGATGTAGAAGATGAGGAGGATGGCTTTCTGTCCCGGTCCCTGTCGCTATCTCTGTCATTTAGTCTCAAGGGAAATAGCATGACAGGATGAGAGAGGTCCGACATGGGTAGGACTGGGCTGGGATGAATGGACGAAGAGATGGAAGACGACAGGGCGGTCCCGTCGGTTCTTCGGCGTCTCTGTTCGACCGGAGTTGTGTGTTTCGTCTAGTTACCTCGTCAAAAATAGCAGTCAAGTCAAGAGGAAGACTACCTCGTGGAGGTCGAGATGCTGTGCCACAGTTGAAGTGAGATCGTCTGTCTGTTGGCAGTATGTCGTCTGGCGCTTAATTTGAGAGGAGGGCCGCACTGCTCACTGGTCGGATACCGGGCAGGGCGCTTGTGTCACTCATGCCGCCGTATGCGAGAGAACGTGATCGAAAAAGAAAGTTTGACAGTCCGAGTAATCAAGACGATCAAAATGGTGTTGCACGAGAAGATCGAGCAAAGAATTAGTGCATCAAACAGAGAGAAGGAAAGATTCGATGGGGAAGAATTATGCGGTGAGGAGTGGAATCATCGTTTCTTCCCCGCGCAGTTTGGGCTAGTCCGTGGGCGTAGTTGGGTTGGAGAATCAATTTGGGGGTGAGAGAGTGACGTGGTGCTGCATGGAAACCCGATGGGCAGGATAGTAAGGCTACAAGGGCAGATTTATTTCAGACAATTACTGCGAAGAGGACAGTAAAGGTTTCAGTCTGACAATAATCTACGATGTGTTCTTGTTGCTGCTGTTCCACCGGGTAGTTTGGGTACCGTCATTTACACCTCAGGCAACGAACTGATCGATGCCTCGCGATGTGTCTGAGCGTCATCCAGCATTGTAACAGAAACGTCGGATTTTCTGGATTTTCCCTATGACCAATCTCCTACAGGGTATCTTTTGATTTGAATTCAATACCTCAACTCCTGTTCCCAAGCAACCCAACGCCGTCTTCCATAATCAACCAAGCTCAAATCCCGGATGCGTTCAACTCCATGCTGTCAGACCATTCGCGACCTTCTTAACAGGCGACATCTCCAACACAAAATGGCCATCCTGTTCCTGAGCCACGCCTCCACGGCGTGCAGCACGCATCATCTTCTCGCTGGCTCGTTTGCGCTCGCCCGTGTGCCGATCCCAGATCCAGCCTTCCTTGAGCCACATCCACGTCAAATATGCCCGGAGCTCCTTGTCCTGTGGTAAGACCGATTTCCATTCCGGTTCAAAATTTGCTGATGCCGCGCCATTGCCTTTCCAGTCCTTCGCTAGTCCCCGCAGCTCATCTCGGCAGAAGATGCGCCAGCTATCCAAGGAGTACGGGCCCACACCAGGCAGATGTGCGATCTCCCATGCTACACGTGTGTCGTCCTCGTCGTCGCCGATGCATTCCTCGCGGCCGACGTCTTTTCCATCCATCTTGCGTGGGTAGTGCAGTCTGCGGTATCGTCTGCCCTTCGTCGGCGGACGATCCAGCCATGTCTTAGCAAGATCGATGCATTTTCTCGCTCGCTCGTTTTGAAATCCCAAAGAATGGATCATAGAGACCAACTTCGAAAATTCGGCTGTACTCATGTCCTGGGCTGTCGGGAAATGGTCAAAAACTCGGAAGAGAACTGGCAAAGCAACGCCTCCGCGAGTCCGATTTAGAAAGATCGTAGCGATAAGCAGACGAAATGGATCATGTGCGAGCTGCTCTTGCACCAAACCGAATGTGGGTGCGTCGATCGAAGGGAAAGGCAGACAGGAGTCGGGATCCGTGAGCGGCTTCGGGAAGTAAGGAGACACTTTAGGAGGCCTAGGGCGAAGTGTCATAACGAACGGAACGTCCGGGTCCACAGTCAATGCGCTTTTCAGTGGAGTCCTAGGAACCCCTTCCGCAGGTCTAACAAAGGTCTCGCCTAGGACGGGCGGTTGTATCACGTCACGCAAAGAAGCATCATGATCCAAGATGCCATCGTCACACTGCACATCACTCAGGTCCGACTCCGAGTCAGAGTCCAGAAAGTCAAATGGTAGGCCAAACTCGGTCAATATCTGCCGAGCTTTCTCAGGAATAGGCTTGTAATCTCGAACATAATTAGCAAAATAGGTAGTGGGTATCTGGCTGCGAACACTCGACGCCAAACCATCCACTTGCTGATGGCTCGTAAAATATTTTGACTTCACCTCATCGCTGGCGGTCACACCTTGCGAATCATCGGTGTTTAAAAATCCAGAGTCCAAAAAGGGTCATCCAGGATGAGAACGTCCTTCTCAAATCTGATATCACCACTGTCCTTCCGGCCGAACTTCTTGGTCGTAGCATCCTCTTCAATGTGACGATCTTCAGCTGCAAGGTCTTGAATCTCCGAGTCCTTCAGGCTCTCCCGATATTTCTCGGTTCTTCTCTTCCTGCGGCTCCGGCGCTTTCTGTGATTCTTCTCTTTCCTGGCCCTGGCGGTGCTCTCCTCGCGCGTTTTCGGCTTATCCGAAGGAATAGGATTCGCTGAATGTGCGTCTGGGACAGCTGTAGCCGATTTTTTGAGTCCATCAGAGTCACTTTCCAGACAAATGGGTTCATCTTTGGAATTAGCAGGTGAGCGCAGAGAGTGCTTAGAAGAAATAGAGGCGCTTGCTCTGTTGTTGCGTTTCTCTGGCGTGATAAAAGAGAGACCGTTCGATCTGTCGTCTTTCGACGAACGACCGGACTGCTTGCTGATGCTTGGGCGTCTCTTGGGTAACTCTTCCGCAGGCGATATGCTCTCCAAACCCTCGGGCTCAGTGGCACTAGCAAAGAAGTCCTCAAGAGGATACTCGGCCTCAAGATCGATTACCTCACGCTTGGAATCGTTGTGCGAGTCAGCCATTGAGGTAGTACGCTTCTCCTGCGAAGACTGCGAAGATTGCGATCTGCTCTTCTTCGGTTTCTGTTTAGCCGCGTCGCCATTCGACCGCTTCCTTTTCCGATCCATTTTGGAGACGTTCGAGGACCTTCTTCTCTTGCCCCCCACGTCATCAATCTCGTCACCAAATTCTGAGCCTTGGGTATCGACATAGTCTTTTCCATATAGTTCGAGATATGTCTTCCTCACGTAGTTTGTCAACCTGTCGATCGAGTGCTCGTCCATTCCAGTCGATTTCGCTTGTTCATAGAATTCGCACACAAAGGTCCGCCTTTTGGACCGCCTGACAGGATATGAACCACTACGCATAAATGAATGCGATGCAATGAAATCCAGCAAGCGAGCCTGCGCTTCTGGTTCAACTGAAGCGAAAACAATATCTTCCTCAGCGATGTCATCGTCGACAGGGTTCCCGTTGGCTTTAGCATATGTTTTATTACTATGGTGCTCGTCCTCGATGTTGTTATCGGCCACCTGGATTTTCACGGATTCGACAGACGTAGCAGGGGTGAGGTCGTCCTCATCCTCATCCTCGCCTTCGTCCTCGTCGTCGTCTTCGTCGTCGTCTTCGTCGTCGACATCAATTCTGGTAATACTCCTCTTCGATCCGATGCGCCGCTGAGACATCTGGCCCGTCGAGAAGTAAGGCGACTTCTTGTGACCAGTTCTTTTGCCGACGGAGGCTCGACTAGTCCCACGCTCTCGCTGTGGAGAGTCATTCGCCCCGTCCATGGAGATGCCACTATTGTATGCGTCGAATGAGGCGTCGAAGCTAGGTTCGTCCGAGAGGATCTCGTCCACGGTGCGAATGTATTGCCCATCGAAGGGTTCGTAGGAGTCCAACTCGACAGTGGGAGGGGAGATGACGACGGAGACAGCGTGAGGTGACATTTCGGGCGCAGTCACAGACTGTTGTAATTATTCCTGGTGCTGGTAAGTAGTTTGATGTGCTTGCAGTTGTTGAAGCAGGAGGTCTGAGTGTTGTAGGTCTGTCAGACATGGTTGGTTCTGTCTGGGTGATGCTTTTTATGGCTAACACAAATGTGAAAGTGTCAGTGAAATTGAGATATTCACTGATTGACATGAAACGCATACCTCAGTCATACCTGACTGCCTTGCCCTACAATATTAAGCAAAGCTATAGCTTCCGCATATTGAATGGGCAGCAAGGGTAGTGACGCAGAATCCTTTTGAGTCGGGCGTAACAGGCTTAGGATAAAATTATGACTAAGTAATTGAGGCTCAGATATCAGTTTGAGAGAGCCCTGCTCCCTTTGTAAGTCCCTTGTAAATTAGACTGAGCTGAATAGTGAGGAACACCGCTGGTGGAAATAATTTCAAAGTGCAACAAAACAAAACGCGGAGAAGGGCGGCGCACAGGCCAATTGGGGCTATTCAGATCCAGCGCGGCGACCGGCCCAGTGCCAAGGTTTACCTGTCAATCGACCATGATAATCGAAGTCGAATCAATGATCACAAGAGAAAGACTACTATCTTTCTAGTACCCAATGTCTCCTGGGTCACACCTCGGGGCTAATAATTATGCAGTTTATCACATGATGTCACGTGGAATTTTGTCTTGGGGTGTGTAGTTAGACCTCGAAACCGCGGGTGGCTTCATTTGTCGTCGTAAATTCCCTCTCTTGTTGAGCAACAGTTCGCGTAACCATGAACAGAATAAGAAGCAGAATTTCTAGGATGACTTCATCAACATCAAAATTGATACGCAGGAACATGTCCTTGACTTGTCGCGGTACATCATTTGCATTTCTCAGATAAGCACACACTCTAACAGATATCTCTTCGTTCAGGAGAGCCCATTCAGCGCGAGCAACTCTTTGAATACACGAATGGGCGATTTCTGGTCAATGAGAAACATGAAATGTCCAAACGATATGCCAAGTTTGATCTTGATGCTCTATGCTCGCTAGTCTCGTCTTTGCCCTCTGTCTCTTCACCTATATCCAAGATTGAGAAGACGGAGGGTGGCTTCAACAAAGCTTTGTTGCTGACTGCAGAAAATGGGAAAGAAGTCATCGCCAAGATACCATGTCCTGCTGTTGTGCCGTCGAAGTATAGCACTGCGTCCGAAGTTGCCACATTGGAATATGGTAAACTATATGTCGGCGCCGTTGTAAAACCAAACTCCTAATACGATTGTTCTTCCAGTGAAGTCTCTTACTTCTATTCCGGTGTCCAAAGTCCTTGCCTGGAGCTGTGATGCTCTAAACCCTGTCGGGAGCGAATACATTGTAATGGAGAAAGCCAAGGGACGGCAGCTAGTCGAAGTATGGGGCGAGATGGATCAGCTGCAAAAGTTCAAACTTATCCAAAACCTCGTCCGGCTGGAAAGCCAGCTGGCCTCAGTGAAGTTCCCTGGTTACGGAAACTTGTACCTACGTCATTCGGTTCAACACATAAGTCGAGTGATACCTATAGATGATGTCTATTGCATTGGTCCTGTCTACAATGCGACTTGGTTTCCGCAGTTCGACAACAAGAATGACGCCGGTCCATGTCTGTTTCTATCCTATGTGGCTGATCCGATGCTAACATCTACTTCTAAAGGGGAAAACCTCTGCGATCTTGGACTGGCGTTAGCCAATCGTGGCCTTAGACATGTACAGCATTCGACTCTTGTTCCACGTGGGCCCCATTATGGCTCCAAAGACGAACATATTCGGATCTTAGAGTCTGCGTCAAAGATTATACCAATGCTAGCCGGCTATACTCCACTACAACGGTTCACTAACCCAACACTGTGGCACGATGACCTTCACTTGGGCAATATATTTGTTTGTGACGAAGACCCTACAAATATCTTGAGCATAATAGACTGGCAATTCATGTCAATCATGCCAGCGTTTATGCAAGTCCAGTGGCCCTCTTTCCTTTGCCCTCCCGACAACTACGAAATTGGGATGGTCAAACCAGAGCTACCGCCCAACTTCGATGAAATGGACTCAGATGAGAAAGCTTTTGCGATAACGGAGAGAGATCAAGCTTTGCTGACAAAATGTTACGAAGCGGCACTCGCCAAAAACCACCTTCAATCATACTTGGCCTTTACTCGAGTCGATCCTGCTATCCGGCATTTGTTTACTTTCTGTGAAACTACATCTAGGAATGGGATCATACCTCTTCGCGATTCTCTGGTGAGCATTTCGGAAAGATGGGGTCGAAGGGGCCTTTCTCACGACTGTCCTTACCAAGTCTCGAATGACGAATTATCAAAGCACAGATTTGAGCTTGCTAGGTATGAGGATTGGCATAAACTAAAGTCATACACTCAAGAGTTATTGCAGTCAGATGATGATGGCTGGGTGCCCCCTCAACTTGACTTTGACAAGGTTAAAGCAAGGCACGCTGAACTTTTCCAGCTTTACATCCAGAAAGAAACCGAAGAACGACCGGAAGAGGAGGCAAAGAAGCTTTGGTTTTATGTCGATAGAGAATATGGTTGATTGTCCCTACAGACCAGCAGATCTTAAATACTTGAGGGCAAGTGGGGAATGCTCAAGACAAATATATTTTAAAGAATGAGAAGGAAGGAGGACATAGTATTCTTCCTTCTGGTTCATCATCCGCGCTCTGGTCTGGTGTGGGCGACAAGTTACCGTAAGGTAAGCGAGAGCCTGTCGGATTGTGACAAGACACGAGAGTGCTAGGCGCATACCAGCAGCTCCAATAGCACGCAGCGTGCTGATCAGCGATGCTGTCGAATTGAATTTCTAGGCGTCAGTCTGGAACAAGTCAAGAATCGTAATTTCATTTCCCGTATATACATGGGTATAAAGTGCTGTATGTAAACTGGCCGAAATATATACTCCGCAGTCCAGAACGCTCGTGTGAGCCAACATCCTCGAGGTCTGCTGTCACCTGAACTGCATCTATGCCATGATTCGTAAATTGATTTGCACGGCAACAATCAAATCGAGAAGCCGCCCGAATCTAACTGCCTGGGCTCTCCAGCGGCGTCAAATGTCCCATTCGGGAGAACCCGGATGGCCTGCGCCGTGCTCTGACCTGGAGCGACCCAAGTCACATTATGACCACGAGACTTCATGAAATCGACGGTTGAATTGTCATAGGTATACTCGAAGCTGACCTGATTTGGTATTAGCTGATCGTGCAAACGGGGTTGAGCCAATGCCTGCGCTGCCGATAGTCCTTGGTCAATAACGCGAATTATATTTTGCACGGTGGCTGTTATAATCCGGCTACCACCAGCGGAGCCAGCGAGGAAAAATAACTTTCCATCCGGACGTGTGACTATGGCGGGTGTGATGGAAGACAGTGGACGCTTTCCAGGGCGAATGTAGTTCGCCTTTGAAGGAGCATATCCAAAAGAATTGGATTTTCCAGGAACGGAGAAATCTGATGAAAATATTAGTTTAGTTGAATGGGGTCAGACAGTGCAGCACTTACCGTCCATTTCGTTGTTCATTATGATTCCGGTTTCAGGAACCATGACTTGGCTGCCAAAGAGGGTATTAATGGTTGTGACGAGGGAGATCGCCAGGCCTGTATGATCTGCCGCTACCACATGTGATGTACCCGAACTGGGTTTGTCAGTAAGGACTTCAAGGAAGACGAAGAATATTCGTACTCATTCAGACTCTCAATTCCTTGCGGATTGTAGGCAGACACATTCTGTGTGCGGTAATCGGAAATCTTTCGTCGGATTTCATCAATGGTGGATTGCTTCAACATGTTTTCTTCATACTCATCCAGCCCAGCGACGAAGAGAGGGTCGCCGAGATTAGTTCTCTTAGTCTCTGTCAGTCGATTTCTTGCGCTGCTTGTTGAAGAAAGCAATTCAACATACCTCACCGTACCCAAAACGCATGGCTTCGTCCAGTCGGTGTGTGCTCAAGTTCACATTATCCGGGACGAAGAAGCCATCGTAAGTACTCAGAATCTTCAGAATACTCATGGCAACAGTACCGCTTGAGGGAGCCGATGTGCTTGTGATCTGGTATCCCCGGTAATCGATCTGTGATACGTTTCGAATGGCTACAGTATAGTTGCGCAAATCCTCCATTGTCATGGTACCATTCGCGGCCTGCAGCGCGTTGATCATTGTCTCCGCGATCGGTCCTGAGTAAAAAGCATCCGGTCCCTTGTTTGCGATGGTTTCGAGCGTATCAGCGTAGCGCCTCCGAGTCATGATGTCTCCCAGTCCAACCCGGGTGCCATTGGGAGCAAAGTCGAGCGCCCATGTCGGGTTCTCGACTAAAAAGTCCTTGCCGTCACCAACAGCCGATTTCATGTACTTCACTAGATCCTGGCCAACGGGGAAGCCCTCACGAGCTGTCCTGATTGCAGGTTGCACCAGGACCGACCACGGCAATAAACCATACTTCTTGTGAAGATGCTCCAATCCACGCAGCTCGCCAGGCACGCCACTTAGACACACATTAGTTCTCTTCCGCAATTCAGCCGGGTAGAGTAAATCTCACCTAGCTAAGCCACCAATTGTAGATGCGTGAGTCGAGTTATTGAACATCTCCTCGAATGCGGCAGCCGGAGCCGTCTCACGGAAGTCGATGAACTCGAAGGAGCCATTAGGAGCCCGGACTAGCATAAAGCCACCACCCCCAATCCCACTATGGTACATGCCTGGGAATACAATAAGTCGATTGATCTGGTCCGGTTCCAATGCGGGGGCTTACCAATTACTCCGACACAGAGGACTGTCGCAACCAGCTACATCGTAAAGCTTAGTACTACCCAGAAAGCCTCGCGATTGGTGCTCTCCTATGGACGGGACAAGGATGAAGCTTGGAGAACTCACAGCATCGGCAGCATTTCCACCCAACTCTAGGATGTCGATTCCATGGCGACTGCAGATAGCACTCTCACTGGCGACTGCCCCGCGCTTTCCATCCTTTACATGTTGACCTTGATGATTTCCACCATTGGGATTACGGCACGTAAGATCCAAGGGTGAAGTAAGTACATTTGGTACATGTATGACCAACATCAGGAGTAGTAGTGTGACCAAGAACGCGGCCCTTAGATGTCCGGACATTGTTGTAACTCGATCCGGTCTGCGCGCCACCGACTGGGATGAATCGCTCACTCCGACCGGGGTATTTAAAGGAGAAGAATGCAACAGTGGCTGGGTGCGCCATTGTAATTAGACTTTGGCTCAACTCCTACAATGAATGGCGCGATATGCAAAGGATGAGGGGAAGCATGGCTTATGGACTACTATACCTGTTTCTCCACATCTTGGAGTATCCTAGGTGACTTAGGCCCCTGCATCACGAAGGCGCCGAGACCGGATGCGCTGCGGAGTCCGGAGCCCAGGGTTATTTGACTGATAGGACGGAAGCCTACCAAGAGACTGCAAATGGCTGAACACACACTGTCAGGATAGTGCAACAATAAGAATATCCAAGATAACGAAAAAAAAAATGAGAAAAAGAATGAACTGACAAAGGATGATAAAGTCAAGGACTCAAGGGAGAGAAAAGTCGACTCACATTGGACATTCCCACAGATAAGCGGTCGCGTGGGCAGGGCATTTGATAAGCTTCGGCGTCTCCCTTCCAGTGACTTTCCCTCGTTCTATCTGTGGTTCGGCCAACAGGAATCGCGACTCAGGCCGTCCGGCACCCGTCCCTCATTCGTCGCAGAACTTGGGCGTCATTATTAATGCCTTAGAGACAGGCATACAGGCAGAACTCTCCTCCACCACACACTGCTCTGTGGAAGCTTGCCTTTTCTTGGCTCGCCCATCCTTCTGATGTATTTCGGAAAGCCTCGCGTGCTGGTGGGTGTGGTGCGCTGTGTGCACATCTAATCTTCGCCCCTGCGCTTCAAGCCATGCGGATCTCCAGCCTGCTAGAGACCGTGTTTGCTGGGACTGACAACGGCCGTTGCCACTTGTCATAAAGAACTAGCCGTTGAGATCGACTGCCTGTCGTATCCAAGTGATAGTTTCGGTCCAGATTGGAGGAATGTCTTGTAAAGGCTGCAAAACCGCAGCCACCAAGCGACGTCCCCAATCGTTAACATACCATTTATCTGACAGCAGGTGCATGCCAACTCCATAGTGTAGGAATAATATACGAGCGATCCAGTCTCCCTGCTTCAACAGAGCAATGTAGTCTCCGCCAATATGGACGGGCCAGGATATAATGCCTCCACGAGGACCTCCCAATGGCCATAAACTGATGGTGTCGTGTAGAAAATCCCAGGTGTCCTGGTAGGCTGCCCGGTGCGGTTCACTGGCATCGTTCATGACGGCCGCTACTTGTCGTAAAGAATCTAGAAGAGCACTTGCACGATGTCAGCTGTTCCATTCAACGATGCAGGCGGAGGAAGATACGTACCTTCGCAGCGGCACAAGCTTCGCATTCCACGTCCTGCGGCCAGAATCAGCTATCATACTAGGCACAAAGGAATGAATGGTAAATCACCCTTGAGATGTGACATTCTCCTCCCGTTTCACATCGTTCGGGAACCGTAGCCACTCTTTCAATTGCCCTGGATGTCGATGCAGATGATGGTAAAGAAAAGCACATCCGACAAGGAGACGGCGAGTTTCCAGGACCTGGGCTAGTGGATCAAACGGATGAGTATCCCCGGCGACGCATGGATATGCAGTCGCACATAGGAGGATGAAAACCGCGCAGATGAACGCAGGTCCACAATTCTCTGGGGAGATGTCCACGAGAACCCGACTAAAAGCCGAACATGCCTGATTTTGATATTTGAGCGCAGCTTCCATCCACGGGCGCTTGTCGTCCGGGTTCAGGAAGGCTAGGTGCAGAGCTGTCAGTGCAAGTAAGCTGTCCAACAGAAAAGGGTGGGATGTGGCCATTTCCGGGACGACCGTCTGGAAGTGAGTCGCATCGATTTTGCCTTGATGCAAGGTATGGTAAGTTTTTGTCAGATAATGATGCATCAACCTCATCTCGAGCATTCTCGTGGACATGGGCCACTCTTGAGGCGTTGTGTCAATGATCTCTCGCGGGGTAGATGCACGTTGGCTGTCGACTTCACTGGCCGATGATGGATAGATGCATTCTAGCTGCCGTTTCTTGCATAACCCACAGCTGTAATCGAGTCAGTATTTGGTTCACGGAATGATTGACATGTAGCCTTGACAGCATGGCGCTGAATGGTCAAAGCCGTTGGCGCGAAGGGACGACCGATGAAATGGAGCAGTCGCACCTGGGTAGCGCTTCATCGCATTTGACATGCCGCTTCTTGCAGTTAGTACATCCCTTTCGGGATTTAGTATGACTGCGACGCGGTGGCATCAGAGAGCGAATGATGATCTCAGGAACTAACTCGGGTTTTGGCGTTGTTTAGTACGCCGAGAAGGTATGTCCTGATTGGGAGAATGATCCAACAGGCGTGGCTCGCAAATCGCGATGATTTAATCCGAAATCCGTGGATCAGAGGTTAGCCCCAATTATCATCAGATGATAGCTGCGAAATGTTGTTTGCAAACCGTGTGAAGCACACAAGACACAAAGCTGTCAATGCGGAGGCAGCTGGAGCCGAGTGGAGCCACCCGATTAGGTGTCAGTGTATGCCTGAGGCGGAAATCCTACTATCTCAGGCGTCACAGACTCCCAAGTCACAATCCACACAGACCTCGAAGTCCTCGAAGTTGGGAGTAGGTTGGAAATGCTAGCTTTGTGAACATTATCGTTGTTGGAACTATCAACGCTCTAAGGTCCACAACCTGGCTCAGGATGTGCCCTGGATTTGCAAAACAGCTGAGGCGCTTCTTAAGGGTTTGTTACTATTTACGTGCATATTTTCTCCTGCAGCGAACCCAATTAATCTTGATGAATAACATAATTCCTTCTAGAGAGGTATACCAGCAGTAATTCTCTTTGCTAGCTGTATCTCAACCCTGCCCGAGTTGAATGATGTTCATCTCCCTTTTAATCAAGAAAGTCAGAGGGGCGTCGGGAAGTTCCCGTTGTTCTCCGTATCCTTCGTGCCAAGACATCGCAGGTCTCTGTGTCCCACATGTCCCCCCTTCCCCTTTCTGGTATGGCTTTCTGGCACATCACTTCATTAAAATACGTCACCTTCAAGAATGGAATAATTAATATAAGAGAACTTCGCTCTTTGTTCAACATTCGCGCCTCGCAACTTCTTCCTCCGCAGACCTCCATACCGTTTGTACGAGCGTCAAGCGCCCCTTACCTTTTCGCCCAATCTCATAGGCTTTTTCCCGTTGGAACTGCGATTGCGGTTGTCCTCTCATTCCTGCTGTGCGCTCCCGTCTCTTTAGCCATGAACTAGTCTGAAACCAATAGCCCTGACTTGACGAGTCGAGGACGGTCTGCCTACCCGTGTCGTACCAAAGTTCGAAATATTTTTTTATGGCGGCTACGCTCTTTCTTGGCCAGATTCTGAAAGGCCGGAGAGGGCTTTACACTCTCACGAAACAACTGCAGGATTGTGTCTGGCTTGCTACGTAAGCCCTTTTGGCATCCTGTTATTAAGCGTTGATTATTTAACAATTCATAGCAACGAACATCAGGAGACAGTCGTTGCGAAGAGTGTCCGGCACTTCAGATTACAGAACGAACGGGATATTTTACTTCGATTCCAAGACCGAACGCCCTGTATTCGACCTCTAATTGAAGAGCTTGGTGACTCCACTGTTCCTCCTACACTCATATTAAAATACCTTGATGATGATGCTCTTCGTGCTTCAAATAAGCAGCGGCTTACTCGTCTAGAGGTGAAGTATGTTGCGAAAAGGGTGCTAGAAGCACTTTCAGTGTTGCATGATGAGGGATTTGTACATACTGGTATGCTCCGCCTATTTAGGTTTTCTACTTTGCGAACTTTATTAATGGGAAGGGTAGTAGATATCAAACCAAGCAATGTGTTAGTGAACTATGGTCATAGCGATGTCCGTTTTACAGATGTCCAATTAGCAGATTTTGGAAGCACAGTTCACGTAGACTCTCTTTATGCACAACATGGCGACCCTATTGGCACGCCTATTTTTAGAAGTCCTGAAGCTCAACTCCAAATGAGATGGGGTACTGCAACAGACATTTGGTCTTTTGGTGCAATGGCAAGTCCAAACCTCGCACCAGAAAGATCAGATCTAAATCATAACGTCTAATTACCGCACAGCTGATCAGTCTTCTCTATGGAGATGGATTCCACATGTTCAAGCCGGATGTTCCTCCAGATCACGATGATTACGATGTCATGATTCTCATGAAGCATCATAGATGCTTCGGGCCATTTCCAGAATCATATGAACGGATTGCAGACCCGCAGCGACTGGCAATCCTAGTCTGGATCATGCAAAACAGCCCTCCTGAGACACTGCGACCATTTCATCTCACCAGTACCCAGGAGATCTGTCAGGAAGATAAGGAATTTGTACTAAGAGCAATGAAGCTTGATCCTCGGGATAGACCTTCAGCACGGCAGCTCTTGGAAGATGAATGGTTTTGTCACTCTTGAATACAATGTACTGTTCGGAGCTCAACCCCAATCCTCAATTTTTCCAGTCCTTATCTGCATATACATACAGCAATTCTTGGCTTTATAAGACAGCTCCTCAGAACTATATTGCATGTACTCAAATCTTGACTATTTTCGTATTTTCCACCTCCCCTCCATTTCCCAAATCCGAGTCGGTCGCAAAATCAGCGGTCGAAATCATGCATAGATAACTAGCGTTTGAGGGGAAAGTGCACGCTCTTTCCGTCTCCGTTTTCATCGAAACAGACTCCAGTATAGTGGTCTCGCGGATCGTCGCTCGAATGTTGAGCTTCCCTGTTTCTGATTTAGCTCATACTCGGATGGAGTCGGGTATGTTGTTTAGACCTCAGGCAGACTTCGTGGTTCCTGGCGGCACCAGGTGTTTAGAAGCCTCGACTGCACTCTTGAAGTCTGGGCCTTGCTGGAGAGCGATGGACTCCGGTCTGAGCCAGTCGGAAGCTGAGTGGCGACTGAGAGTGTTATCTCTTGTCCACCTTTGGTAATACTACCGATCGGGACTTTCTTTAGAATACGGTTGAAAGACCTGTTGAACGAACAAGGAGGAAAATCCTGTAAAGATGGTTGAAGTCTGGACTGCTTGGGCTACGGACTCCATTCATCAATAGAATATGACTGGACTTATATAATG